GAGCACTGTGTGGATGGAGCATTGAGGATGGAGCATTGAGGATGGAGTACTGTGAGGATGGAGCACTGTGAGGATGGGGCACTGAGGATGGAGTACTGTGAGGATGGAGCACTGTGAGGATGGAGCACTGTGAGGATGGAGCACTGTGTGGATGGAGCATTGAGGATGGAGCACTGTGAGGATGGAGCACTGTGAGAATGGGGCACTGTGAGGATGGAGCACTGTGAGGATGGAGCACTGTGAGGATGGAGCACTTTACTGTACCTCTGGGACCAGCAAAAGCCATAGCAGGAAAGAACCTGGTACCTTTAAGAAGAAACCTTTTGGGTAGAGAGATGGCTTGGTGGTTAACAGCACTTCCTGCTCTTCTAGAGGGTCCGTGTTTGATTCCTAGTGCCCATGTCAGGGCAGTCTCAAGCAACTGCAGCTCTAGGTCCAGGAGATCTGACACCCCTGACCTCTACTCTCTTTGAGAACCATTGCTGCTGTGCACATACCCACATGTAGACTCACACCAATACACATAAAATAAGCCCAGAAGCAGCAACAGATACCTTTCTGTCTGTGCAACCCATAACCTTATCGCCTATAACCCTAATACCCAGGCAGAGGCAGGGAGATGGAGATTTCCAACAGATGGGGGGATCCTGTCTTTTAAAAAGGAAAGAAACAAAGAAAGAAATTTATGGCCTTGAAGAACTCCTGGCCTTCCCTGAAGCTAAGGGATGAAGGATCTTAGAAGGGGCCATCTTTGGTTGTTTGTTGTAACCAGAGTTTAGATCATGGGTGGAGGGGAAGAGAGGTGGCATGGAGACGCAGAGGGACAGCATGCCAGCTGGGCTCCTCCAGACACTCAACAAGAAGAGCAGGAAAGACCTGGGGCATAGAGAATGTTGGGGGTATTGAAATGTTTGTTGGACAAGTATCCTTCAAGGATGAGGGAGTACCTGTTATCTCTGCCTGAGACCAAATGTCACCTTAGCTGTTCCCTCTGGGGAATGGGAAGTTATGAGACCTGGCTGGAAGTCGGGCCTGAGCTCCTAAAATCCTTCCACTGAAATACTCTGAACTCCTGGGAAGAGGCAGGGCAGAGAGGGAAAGGGAGAGAAGGTAGGAAGGCAGGGGCTTCCTTTATGGTCCTCAGGGCTCTTCAGACCTCAGGCTGTGAATGCTGACTCCACTCTCCTCCCCAGTATCAAGGCACCGCAGAGAATCACCTTGCAGACTCCATCAAGCTCACTCCAGGCCAGCCACGAAGCAGATGCTGCTGACGCTAGACTCCTTCCAGACTCCCGATGACAGCTGTGCAGGCCACCCATTCCAAGCTCTATCCCACCAGCTGGTACTCAGCTAGGAAGCTGAACCACTGCAGCAGGAGAGAAAATGTCACAGGCAAATCCTGGCCCCAGAGCAATCAGTCTTGATGACTCAAGCTCTTCTTTCTCCCTTCCCCCAACACAGTCCTGCTCATCTCTGCAGACAAGCTGCTCCCTTCAGCACTACAGACCTACAGCTTTGGATGGAGATGCAGCTCTGATTCCCTCAGCAGCCAGGACATGGACCACTCCTGACAGGAGAAGCCTACAGCTTCTGAGACTTCCCACAGCTTCTTCCAGGGAAAGCTAAGGGAGCAAGAGAAAAGCAGTTGTTCCTGCTTCCTGGGTGCTCAGACAGCTCCCAGAACTGACCAGGCCTCAGTGTACCCTCTGCCAAATGAGAGTTCCCAAGGTTCCCCATATCCCAGTGTGATTTGAGGACCATAAACTCCATTTAAATCCCACATGCTGGTATGGACACACATGCTCACTCCTTCGGTGAGTATTTTTGATACCTTCTATATTCATTGCACTGAAACCTGGTCACACACAAAACAGACTTGACTCCTTCACTCCCACAGAAGGAGAGGGCCAGCAGACAGGAGCAGGACAGAGGACAGCAACAAGGTGCTGTTTTAGACAAAGGGGCCAAGAGGGCTTTCCTGTGACGGTGACAGTTGGGCTGACAGGCACAATATGAGCTACAGGAAGAGCATGTCAGGAGAGGGAGCAGCAAGGCCAAGGCCCTGAGGCAATGGACAACGTGCTGCATTCCACGTGAAAGGTCTTTCCCTGAGGACTCAGAGCTGCTTCTCAGAGAAAAAAGGCCAAGGATTTCCTATCCCCAGAGGGTACCTTGATCATTTGATGATGACCACCAGGGGGCAGAAGTGTCATCTGCTTCCAGGCTGAGGCGTTCTGGGGACACTTGAAAAGCTGGTGTTTCTTTCTGTCAAGAAAATGGTTGAAACTTGTTCCCAGGCTGTAGGAATGTCGAACCTGGGCTAGTTGGAAAAAAACAAAAAATTCAAATGTCCTGGGTGAAAACTTCAGGATCCTTAATTCAGGTAACAAATCAAAGTCAGAGACAGATCCCAGAGCAAGGTACTTGAAGAGTTATAGATTCTGTGCCCTGTACATTTCAAAGCTAGAAACTATTTTTAATTCTGGCTTCACACACCACAGATAGGGTGGCCCACTCTGGTAGGTAGACAGAATGTACTTTCAGGAGCTTCGATGGTCCATACCTCGTGCCTTCCACAGACACTCCTGTCTCCACAGAACTCTTCTTCCCTGAGTTTCAAGCAGGTCAGAGGTATTAGAAAAACAACTGACTCAAAAGATTTCACTGAGAGGCAGGTGGTCAGGGGTCACTAACCAGGGGACCTGGGGACCCTGTCTGCCCCCACCTAGCTCTGAAGTATAAAGCAATTCACCATGGACAGCAGTCACAGAAACAGTGAGCCCTGTGTCCTTCAGAGATAAACACTGTGCCCCCGTCACACACGGGTGTGGCTCTCTTGGAAGTCAGACTGTGGAGAGATGTGTGGTGTGTGAGTGGGGGGTACCCAGTCAGCAGCGCAATGAACATCTAAGAGTATACAACAAATAGTGTTTCTTTTGTCAACTGTGGACCAAAAATACTAAATAGTGAATCCCAGAAATAAATAACTTACAACTTTCAACACATGTGTCATTTGAAGTAGTGTGGTGAAGCCCTGAGCCATCCTACCCAGGCCAGTCACCCCTGCTCTATTCAGTGCATCTAACCCAGCAGTTACTTTGTAGCTGTCTCAGATGTATCAACTGTCATCATTCCAAATGTCTCTATTAATAGTAACCTAAAGTTATGCCACAATGCCCACGTCACTATCTCATTGCAGAGATTGCCACCATCCCATGTTGTCACAAGAGGATAAGGTTGAGAACAGTACAGTATTTTTGAAATATACATTTATATTCTTTTATTACTAGTATAGTCTCATGGTCATTATTTTATTGTCCATCTCTTGCTGTACCTAATTTAGTCATTAAAGTTGGTCATAGGCATGTGTGGATAGGAGGAGGTATAGCACCTGGTGGGGGAGTGGTTAGTACTATGACTTTAGGCATCTATTGGGGAGGTGTTCAGGAGTGTTTCCTTGGATGAGAAGAGACTATAGTGTTTGCTTTTTACTTTTAAAAAATACATATCAGCATATTATGCCATGTCAACGATGTTAAAGTGCAGGCAATAAAAGCCACATCATTCCCAGGGCCCTGTAATGAAATGAGGTTGTTCAAAAATTAAGATTTCAAGGCAGCAACAACAGCATCCGACGTTAGAGATGAGCCCTTCTGAGGACTCACCTCCCCATGAAGTGGTCCTGAGAAAGCTATGCACTTTCAGCTAGAGCAACAGAGTTCTGACCTGGCCCTGCCGGACACACTGCAGCCTGAAGGGAAGGCTCTTCCACAGCCTTCCAGCACGTGACACACACTTTGTGTTCTCTTTAGATTCAGAGCACAGACTAAATATTCCAAATGGGAGCAGGGACCTGTGGGCCTGGAGACTCACAAATATCCTATTACAACTGGGAGATGTGCTAACAATCCCCGAGGCAAAGTGAACTCAGCTGACAAGCAGATCCAAACAAGGGTCCCTGTGAGCCACTGCAGCCCAATCACGGCCCTGAGTTGGAAACTGGTCCTTATTGCCCATGCCAGCAGGCACAGGAACTTCAGCCCACCACACCCGCACCTACTGGAGGCCCAAGTTGGGGAGGGGGTGCAGCACATCCCCAGCCCTCTTCATAGCCATTCCTTCAAAAAAAAGACCTGAGTCAACAGGATTCTATTGATCAGGCTCACCACAGCCTTGCTCAAGGGGAACACCCTAGGCTGCTGCTCAAGGGTGAGAACTCAGACCAGGACTCCTGTGGCATGTATCCTTGGGACTTGGGACAAAAACAAAGCCAAATCTTATCACCAAACAAACCAGGCTTGGACGCTAGGCCCTGCCTGAGGGGACTTGGGAAAATGCCCATTTCTCCTGCTGTTTGCTCCCATGTAACAGAGCTGTCCTGGTGCTGCCTAGTTAGCCGGCTGTCTATCTATCCCTTGGCCACAGGCAGCTTCTCAGGCTCTGTTTGGAGTCCCACACCGGTCTCTGGTACCCAAGAGCAGCCTTGTGTGTAGCCAAAGTCTGACAGGGCCTCCCTGCTCTCTCTTATCACAGTGACCAACATCAGCTCTACTGGGACAGGAGAGCCACAGATGGGGACTTCTGTAGCTTTTCTTTACCCTGTCTCCCTCTCCCTGGTCCAGAGCTGTGGAATGAGTAGCACCTACTACTGTTTGCTGTGCTTCCTCTCCTTGAAGGCAGGGCCTACTTTTGTTTTTGTTTTGAGGGAAGGGGTGCTTCTTGTTTTGTGGGGGTTTGATGGTTTTGTCTTTCGTTGTAGTTATTGCTATGAACGTAGCCTTGAACTTGACATTCTTCTGCCTCAGGCTTCCAGTTGCTAGGGTGGGCATGTTTTGATTCACCATCTGAAGCCCTCGCCTCAACACTCAGTTTTATAGACTGGTGGACAGTAGGGGATAAGTGAATATTATGGGAGACAATGGACTGCTACACATCTATTTTTTAAATAAATACATACTGGATTTTTACAAAGACCAAAACCCTATCACTTTTTTCCACCATTTCTGTTCCTTTGAGAATTTCATGCCCCCGTATAATGTGTTTTGATGAAATCCAACCCCATTCCCTCCCTTTCCACACCTCCCGCTTGTCCCACTCCCACCTTCCCCTCACAACTTAATGTGTTCTCCCTTTAAACTCCTTGGAGTCCATCTAGGGCTCCTATACAGGTATGAGTGTAGAGCGTGGGCATCCTCCTAGTAGCTGCATCCCTGAAGAAAACTGACTCCACCCATCCCCACAGCTAACTGCCAATAACCAGCCCCTCAGCTAGTGATGGGATTTCATGAACCCCCACCCCCACCCCAGGCCTTGCTGAGATTTTAGCTGGCTTGATCTTGTACATGTAGTCACAGCTGTGTACACAGCTAATTTTTTTTTAATGTATGTGAATACACTGTCACTCTCTTCAGACATACCAGAAGGAAGAGGGCATCAGATCCCATTATAGATAGTTGTGACCCACCGTGTGGTTATTGCTGGGAATTGAACTCAGAACTTCTGAAAAAACAGTCAGTGCTCTTAACCACCAAGCCCCTACACAGCTATTCCTTTCTTTCTTTCTTTCTTTCTTTCTTTCTTTCTTTCTTTCTCTCTTTCTCTCTTTCTCTCTTTCTCTCTTTCTCTCTTTCTTTCTTTCTTTCTGCCCAGCTACACAGCTTTCTTAATCCAGGGTGTACTGGAATTCATTGGCAGAATCATGTATATAATACCTTATTTAGTCTGCCATACAAAGTTTGCATAACAGCTTCTACATAGGGAGAATTTAGGAGGGTAGGTAAGAAACTAGTAAAAGTGGGCTTCCTTTCGTAGGGCAGTGTGGGCAAGTAGGATCAAGTCTTTCCAAAGTGCAGTCCTTCGTTTTGAGCTTCCAGGTCTTTGAATGTATTACTCAACCAAAAATTAAAAGGAAGGAAAATAACTATTGGTAGAAGAGAGGGCAGGGGAAAGGAGGGAAAAGAAGTAGAGAGAGGCGTGATCAGGACTTAGCCAAGCCCTTGATGCCAAGACTGGTGGACTGAATTCTAATTAGAGACAGGGGGACAAGCACAAATCTCTCCAGGCCCATATGCTGTGGCACAAACACCAACCTTCCGTGCAGGTGACAGCACCACAGCCATTCTTGGCTCTCCTCGGTCAGAGTCTCCTAAGGGTCAGTCAATAACAGCACGTGTTTCCAGCCTCAGAGGCTCAGCTCTGAGATAAACTATCAAAAGTGTGCCGTGCTCTGTGAATTACCATGTAAATGGTACACTTAGATATCTCCCAAGGTTAGTTTCTGGACTTTCTAGTCACTCAAAACCTTGGAGCCCCCTTAACTGGGTCCAAAGTAGCATTTCAGAAGAATTTCCTTCGGTTTTGTTTGGTTTTCTTTTGAAAGGTTTGTTTACTTTCCATGGGGGAGTATTTTCACCTGTGTGTATGCACATGCACCGAATGTGTGCCTGGTGCCTGTGGAGATCAGAAGAGGGAGTCGGCTTGCCTGGAACTAGATTCAAAAGTGTTTGTGAGCCACTATGTGGGTGCTGGGAACTGAACCTTGGTCTTCTGCATGAGCAACAAGTACTCTTAACTGCCGAGCCAGCTCTCCGGCTGTCCGCATCCTTCAATTTTAAATGGAAACAGGTACAACTACATTTTGTTTGTGTTAAACAAAATAGACCCAAAGGCACAGCAATTGTACCTGCACACAAACACTCCTTGCTGGGTCCATCAAAGGACAGGATCAACATTTTTCTGTGTGGCATTGTTTGTAATAGAAAAAGAAAAAATGGAAATAATCTAGATAACCTTCTGAAGAAAAGCAGGTTCATAAAATGTGATGTACTGCACAGCAGAATTCCACTCTGTGGGTGTGAGTAGAGGCAGGCCATGGGCGTGGGCAGGGCAACCCTCCGAATGTGGTGGGAACATGGAAGAAGGAGACATATTGTAGAACACTGCAGTCAAGTCCAGGTCAAGAAAAATTAAATGGGGTCTTCTTACTTGTGGCTTGAAAACATAAATGACAAAGCAAAAACGAAAACATAAAATCTAGGCAGCTACATACCCAAAAATGTCAGTGGGGATCAGGAAGAGGAAGAGGAGGGTGAGGTAACTGGAGATGCACAGGAAGCGGCTAGGCTGAGTGGGAACCCTGTGTCCCTCCAGCTGGTGGTGAGGTCATTTTATCATGAAAGTTTGTATCGGAGGTGGGTGTTAGCGCATAGCCCTTTTCATGACTCAAATATTCCAATTTCAAAACCTACGCCGCACCCAGATCACAGGAGTCACATAGGCCTGTGTGTGACATGCTTAGCACACAGTAGGTGCTCGACAAATGATTGTGAGAAGCAGTTATGGGGGCATTTAATTTTGTTTTGTTTTGTTGAGACAGTCTCTCTGTGTAGCTCTGGCTGTCCTAGAACTTGCTATGTAGACCAGGCTGTCCTCAAACTCACAGAGATCTGCCTGGCTCTGCCCCTCAAGTGCTGGGATTAAAGACATGCACCCCTACACCCCGGTGTGACGGGAGCACTTGTTTTAAGTCTATTCATGAGGAGTAATACATTGTGTTTAGTATGTAAGGTCTTAGCTATTTGGGTTTGATTACAGAAATTAACATTTTCTAATGAAAAATAAATGTTTGTGGCTTCAGTCATAGCCTGGGATCTCCACTGCCAGAAAGGATACAATAAATAAAGGATGAATGAATGAATGAATGAATGAGCAAACAAACAAATGAACGCCTTCATGGATTCTTTTCCTATCTTCACACCCTCTTCCCTGGATAACTCTGGGATTCAAATCCCCTCGTGAGCATTGTGAAAATTTGATTCCTGCCGGGCGGTGGTGGCACACGCCTTTAATCCCAGCACTTGGGAGGCAGCGGTAGGCGGATTTCTGAGTTCGAGGCCAGCCTGGTCTACAGAGTGAGTTCCAGGACAGCCAGGGCTACACAGAGAAACCCTGTCTCGAAAAAAAACAAAAACAAAAACAAAACAAAAAAAGAACTTGATTCCTACTCACAGCTTCTCAGAATCTCCAACTATGAACCGAAAAATCCCGGCTCCAAGATGATGCAACCTCCCTCTTCCAAACTAGACCACAGATCCCTTTGTGAAAATTTCTCCTTGGCTCCCTGTGACTTCTGGCAGAGCCCTGGGTCCACAACAGTTGCTCATGAAAACAGCTGTTTCTGGAGAGGAGAGGCCATGGCTTGGCTGCGGGACTCCAGGTGAGCCGGCTATAGTTTCCCTCTTGCTAAATTGCCAGGAGCCCTGGCCTTGCTTATATTCATAGTCCATGATCAGAGG